ATTTCGAGAAATTCAGTAAAATCTTTCTGTGGGGTAGTTTTATCCCCTTAAAAAAATAAAGCAGCATAGATGGAGGATTGTTAGTATGACAGTCAGAGAATCGTTCGAGATAATTCCAGTCAAAATCTCACTGTTGCACAACAACTTTCAACTTTCTTTTCATATTTATATCAGATAATTTTAGAAATTTAGCTATTTTGACTTTCCATATCTCTAAAAATATCCCTATGCTCAACTTAAAATTTTTCTGAGACTAATGTGTCATTATATAGCATTGTTTGAGATTAACGTTCCATCATATAGCATACATACAATTCGATTTAAAATTCCATGTAAAAATCAGCAGAGTTTGCAGTCGCTCTTCACAAGTATAACAATAAATTGTCATAACAATCAAAGTAATGTCAAATGACTCGAAAATAATTATTAAAAATAATTTTTCAATCTTTTTTCAATTTATTTGACGTTACCATGATTTGCTGTTTTGCTTAGGTTTATTTTTGACAGATTGGACTAATCGGGAAATGATCGGCTCCCTTGTAATATTAAATTTTTGTAAAGGAAGCAAACCTTGTTTATCCTTTTCAGCAATATCATGTGTACCAATCAAGATCTTCAGCGTCTTCACGTCCCCTTGAAATATACATCTGTGAAGCGGATACTCCTCATTCTCCTGCGCCATGATCATCGGCATCCGAGATCCCTATCATGCGCGTTAAAACGGCAGAACTGAACACAAACTTTGACGTTTCGTATTACAACATGTGTAATGCATGACGTCGACGCGGAACATCACGATTTACTGACGTTAACCGAACGTTAACAGGCATCACAATGCACGCAAGTCTCGCCCTCCGGCGAGCTTGCGACTTGGCATGTTAACACTTTTGTTGATATACTTTTACGTAATTGTCATATTTCTTTCCCCTTCTCCTCTCTTATCTATAATACCTTTATCGACACTTCCTCGTGTTAAACAACAATACTTCCGTCAATTCAAACCTTGGCGCCTCCGTGGGAATCGCATTCAACATTATGATCCTGCTCGCTCCAATTACGTCTATCCTCAATTCTTCTAAAAAATTTATCGCTCCACGTTCCCGTTAGTTACACTTGAGCACTTGTACGGCAAATGCGAACGCAAAATGCGTGTGTATATGTATGTGTATACTTTGAGGCCTAACCGCTCTTCCCAGGCAGGACGTCAACTTGGCAGCGTACACGAGACGGAGTCCGAATGACAGGTCGCAATTCTTAACCCTCGTGAGCCTCGTTACATTTGCGTTACATATTTGGAAAATCGTGCGATCGTGCAACCGAGTAAACGCCAACGTACGTTGAAGGAAAAGCGATCGTCCGAGAAAGCTATTCGGTTCATAATATGGCGTTCACTCACCGAATACTCCGGGACATGCTCAACGATTGTTATGCGCTCGATGAGCTACATTCGGCGGGCGCGTAATTATTATATTTTCTGAACGTACACTGAACAGAATGTTTCTATACTTGCAGACAAGCCCGTAATGCGGCCACACCGGCGTTTGCAGTTTGCACCTGGTGGGACCTACGGTGGCAAAAAATCACCGTTCAATATCGCCGCCTACACTCATTTTAAAATTGGCGACACGTTCATGAGGATGAACGTACGATTAGCCAATTCGTCGGATATTTTGAGAGCTTTTTTTGGAATCCTTTTAGTAATTTTTCAAAATTGTTACAATAAGTTTCAAAATTTTTCAGAATTTCTATAATTGTACACCTTTTTAAAAAATTTCGTAAATTTTTTTATATGAATTGGAACACTTTTCAAAAGATAAAATCAAGATAGAATTCCTCGTATATGTGCGAATTCTGGAATATTCTAAGATTTCTTATTTTATCATTTTCTGTAGCAAACTTGATAAATTCAAAAACGTTTAGGATATTTTTTTTGACCTTTATAAATTTAAAATATGAAAAATTATTAAAAATATTACGAGATCTTTAAGCCCTTGTACACTAGCGTCATCTGCATCTGTTTTCCAAATGATGAACTACGTAGTCACATCGTTCTGAACTTAGCCGATATGTCAGCGAGTTATACAGTCTAAAGATATTTAATATAAATTATCCAAATGTTTTATTAAACATAATTAAATATTAAAACATAATTCAAAACACAAGAAAATAAATAGAATAATAATGAGGCCTAATCAAAATTTTGTTTTATTGTCAAGCGTGGAGCACAGACTCTTGCATAACACATAGCACGTAATGCATAAGAAATGTATCAATCAAATGTATCAATCCTTTATTTCCTTCCTTTCCATGAAATAAAGAACTCTGATTAATTCAATTTCTTATACCTCATGTGTTATACGTTATACAACAGTCTGTGCTCCTCCGCTTATGCGTGTTAAACGTGGCGGTTTTGCTTTGCATATTATGTTAGACACATTTTGAAAGAAATGAAACTGGTATGATATCAATAAGTAAAAAATACGTTGTATCTTCGATTTTATATATATATATATATATATA